GCGTAATGATTACCAGGTACTTTCTGGAATCAGGATGTACCTTCAATTGTAAATACGCATCCTTCAAATCAATAGTTGAAAAATACTGTCCTCCACTCAATTTCGCAGTGATATCGTCAAATCTCGGAAGTGGGTAATTATCGATCTGGACATGGGGATTGATGGTAACACGAAAATCACCACATATTCGCAAATTTCCATTCGATTTCATGGCAATGACTATTGGTGATGCCCATTCAATAGGAGTGATCGAAGTATCGATTGGTTCTAATACATCTTCCCTAATGAGTCTATCGATCTCTGCACTGACCTGTTCCTGTAAAGGTATCGGTACATTCCGGGACCGGAATGTTTTTGGTTTTATTTTCTCATCGATGTGGATCTTGGCTAGGAACCCTTTTATGACCCCTAGTTCACCACTAAAAAGTTCTTCAAATTCCATCAAAATTTTACCAAATTCAGACATTTGTTCCTGGACTATTGGATGATTTTTCTCCTGGACTATAATATTAGATTCAGATGTCAAATTACATATTCTTGATCCAGGTGGCAGTACTAGGTTGAATTTTAAACACCAATCTAATCCAAAAAGTGGGATATCATCAGTTTCAACAACATATAAAGGTAAGGTATGTTTTTGCCCCTTGAAAGCTTGAACATCAACTTCGATTATGCCTAGAGTGGGTATTTCTAAATCAGTATAGGCAATGAGATTCTGAGTTTGTTTCAATTTTGGTTTACCTAATTTTTGCCAAATTTTTCTGCCTATTACCGAATGGGCTGCGCCAGTATCATACAGCATTTCAATTTTCAAACTGTTAATGTGAACTTTGATCATTACTTTGTTTATTGAGTTCACTTTACACTTCACGTACATTTGTAACATTTGCAAAACTACTCTCATTGGAGTCGCTACCTGTGTCCTCAGATTCCTCAGAGGATTGATAATCTGACTCAGTAGCATCTCGTACATGGCGAGTACTTCGTTTTTGTTTATTTTTAACTATTTTTGCATTCCCTGCTGAGATACACACACGGGCGAAATGATTTTTTTCAGAACACTCCGAGCATCTTTTTCCAGATGCTGGACAATCACTCTTGTCCTGATGTTTGAGTTTTCCACAAAAAACGCACTGTTTGTTCGGATCTAAAATAACTATATGCTTATCGGTACTGGTAGATGCTTGTTGGGAGTGTTTTTGCCATATTTTTTTATTATTTGGATATTTATTCAAATAATTTGCATGTGCACCAGGTTGTGATTTTGAAATTTCTGTTAGACGCTTTGATTGAATAGCAGCTTGTTCGAAAGCAGTAGCAGAAGCTTGAACCTGTTCCAAAGTTGCTGCATTTGTTGGGTGCATCCGAATAATTTGTTCTTGCCACTCAGGCGAATTTAAACCAATGATCAGCTGATCACGTAATCTTTCCCGTAAACTATCACCAAATTCGCAGTTTCCTGCTAGCCCTCGCAATGCAGTAACAAACTGGGTTATAGATTCATCGTCTTTACGAAATCTGGATGCAAACTGTATTCTTTCAGCAAAAATATATGTTTGCTTGCCATAATAGCTATTTAGTACTGTCTTCAGTTCCTGATAGGTCTTGGTATTCACCGGATCTGGCTTGAAATGGTCGACTAAAATTTTGAATGGTTCTGGGCCTACCTTAGATAAAAGCAGATTTCGTCTTTTCTCCTGGGTATCTATTGTTAACAACCCATGTATTAGCAGTTCCATCTCAAACCTCTGGGCATAGTATTCCCACTCCTCTTTGGTAGAGTCAAACCTCTCAAAACGAAAGTCTTTGGCATAATCGTTGTTACTCATCTTGCACACACACACTAAAAACGTCTGTTCAGGGTGCACTTATCACCAAAAAAAAACTAATTGTTTTAGTTCCTCAACTCAAGTTTGCTAATTCGACAGTGTTTTTTTTTTTAAATTGTTTTTCACCTTAGAATCTTCGTCTGGTATTGTTTACTACCACTTTGTTGACTGGATTCGCGCCGTTCGCGACATTTATTCCGAACTTCACACACACAATGAGTTTCCACTTCCTCGTCGCCAAAATGTAGTATGATGGTGTATGGATTCTACTTCAATTGTGGCAAAGGTTTATTGTTTAACTTATCAGAATAAAACATAAAAATAATTGTTATTGTTCACATAATAATTCCTGGTGTTCAGGTGTTAGCTGTCTGCTGTCATTCTCTTGTCGCCACGTCAAGCCTGCTCTGCGTTGTTGCCAAGCATCTGTTGAAGCGGTCAGGGAACGAATGTTAGGAACTAATACCACACTGCATATAATTCAATTGATTATTATTGAAAAATAGTATCTTGCTCAACAACAAATTTCCAGAGAAATATTATTGATCATGATAATAGCCTTCTGGAAGGCTATAAGAATTCATAATGGAGTAGGGTATATTTGATAGAATGAAACAATTTCACATCGAAGTATAATATATATTGAATTTTAAATAATCAAACAGTTATTTATGAGTACCTATACTTATTGATTTTTAAATAAGACAGTTTTGGTCAATTTATTTCTAATTTTAATTTGGTTGTCCTTCTTGCTGCACTCATAATGTATTCTTAGGTTAAAGTAATTGCTTAAAATCAGTTTAACTAATCCAAATGAATGGTTTTCTAATGGCTCTTCATCGAAAATATGACTATTGAAACTGTCATAGATCCAGTTTGGCAAGTTTTTCATTGTCATATTGATCAATACATTTGTTGGGCTCAAAACATTGCTACTGAAAATATTCTGTGTTTTGCTGATATGCCTGAAATGTTTTTCAGCATGTTTACAAATTTCAGCTACAAATTTGGAAGCTTTAATTAATTTTCCATATGTTTTTATGACCTGCAAACTTGATAATATAGAGTCTTCCTCCATAATTTGCAAACATTTTATACAAGTGATTTTTTTCTTCAAAGATTTCACAACAAATCCTGCTACATATTCTACAATGTCAGCTACAAAATCAGTCAAATGCCATTCTGGCAATGATACATAATCATGATCTTGATAGTTCATTCCATTAGTAGGCACAATGAATTGATCAACAACTTGATCATCGTCTTCACTCCTAATAATATTATTTCTGCTACTACAATTGAGAATGGTAGTTGCATCTAAGGTGACAGCATTTGCAGAATCAGAACCTTTTATCTGAGCGTGAATCAATAATTTTTTATATGTAGCTTCAAACTGTCGAGCTGTTGGATTATTATTATATCCACCAGAGCTTCGCATGATGCTGAAAAATATCTCCAAGTGATCTTGACTGAATTTGTAGCTGATAACATATTTCAACAATGGAGTTTCACACTCTATATATAAATTATATATCCCTTTCAAACTTTCAGCACATAAAATGAATCCTAAAAACCCTGTTCTTCTAGGACTATTCAAAATAGGAATTCCATGCAATTGCAAAGATTTGATGTATAGATCTGCCTCATCCAGAAATTGGAAAAATATGTTTTTTGTGACTGGTGATAGAGGTCTTTTGAAAATATATTTTGAAAATCTATTCCTACTATTAAGAATGTCAAAAAAGTCATTAAATATTGAAATAAATTTTGCAGTTTCTTCAGCTCCTTGAAAATCTTCTAAATTTAGTTCACATACATATAAAAGTGCATCAGACACACTTTTGCTCAATGTTTGAGCTGCTATCTTCACTTTCATTTTCTCCTGAGTCCATTGCAGATGGCGTTGTTTCAGCTTATTGGCAGCATGCAATCCTTCTTCATCCTGAAGTTTCACCAAGTTCTCTAAATATCTCCACTCTATTTTTTTTTCATTGTAATAAATTATTTTCTGACTCCCAAAACAGTTACGCACTAGTTTCAACATATGGCATGGATCCAAGAAAACAAAAACTTTTTCATTTGTGATTGGGTGAGGGAAAAAAGGAACCATATCTTCTATCTTTGAGATACTGGCACCAAGTGTATTGGCCATTGATATGTTTGCTGCAGCACCATCAAATGTAATTGATGTAACAATGACTCCAGTTGAGTGAACCAATGAAAGGCAAGTTTTCACCAAGTTAGCCTTTTCAGATCCACTTAAACCATTCAGAAGGAAATATCCTACTGGTATTTTCCAATGATCATTAACTCCAACAAGCATGAAAACAAGAGACTCTCTTGCTTCTGACAAACAATCTGAATCAACATTTGTCCCCAAATCAACATATCCAGTTAATTTTGTTCCTGTCCATTCTATTCTTCTTCTTATTGACATTTCATCCAGCACCAAATTGCATAGTAGTTTTTTATTTTTTTTGTTTGCTTCTGAAACTTTCATTTTCAATGTTATCAGTGATTCTTGAGTGAATCCTGGTGAACCATCCACAGTTTGGTACCATTTAGTGATAGTGCTAGGATGAGGCAGAGACTTATTGAATTCTGCTCTAACAAAATTATAGGCCTTTGGAGAGTAGAAATGTAGAGTCAAGGCAAATGATCGCAATTGAGGGTTGTATTTTGCTCTTGATGGACCTCTTAACATTTTTTTAAGTATTTCACCAGGAACTGAAGCCTGAAACAAATCAACAATTTAATGCTGATGAATATTTATGTCATATATATAGAACAATGATTATTGCATGCTTTACCTGAATAGTTGTTTCAGAATTTTCTGAAATGTATCTGTTTTCACGTAAATACTTCAAGAGAGAATTCATACAAATTATTCTTGCTTTCAATCTTCTCTTTGATTGCTGAAGAGTCCTAATTTTTTTTCTCAGCTTAAGAATAGTATCAGAAACAATCTTCCAAGTTTTCTTGTTTTCTGTTGCAGAAGTAACATCTTGAGAAGTTAAATCTCCAAAAAAGCATTGTCGCTTTATTGATTTCCTGTAAATGAGTGATCTGTAATCTATGAGTACAAAACTCAAAATAATTGCAATGTGTATTACAATAATATTGCTCTCTGGAGATTGGAATATATCCATTACTGTGTAATACCTGAAAAAACTATGCCAATTTGTTTACAAACCTTTTTGCTGCTCTTAAAAATTGAATAGGAGAGTTTTTTGACTCTGAAACTGTATCATTTGCAGTTGAAAGGTTTCTGGTTTTTTCCAATGATGATTCAAAGGATTCGGAAGCTGTTTCAGTTGTAGAAGAATGTTCAAATTTTTCCTCGAATTTTTCTGAAGCAGTTTCAGTAGCTGATGACTGATTCAGAGATTCTGAAGCTGTTTCAGTACTAGATGACATAGTATCAACACCACAATCAGTTTCTTCTGGTATTTTACTCATCTCAGAGCTAATATTAGTATCAGTCATTTGTTCTTGATGCATGGTGGTATATTCAAGAATATTCATTCTGAAAATAGAAAAAATGTAGAAAAAAACACCATGGATACCTTTGTTTGAGTTTAGCAGGATATATTAGGATGTCACAACTATGAATTGAATATAGTATGACTCCTAGTGTGATGAACACATACTTACCCTGAAACAGTAGTAGAAGTAGAACCTTCAAAATGTGATATCAAAATGGTAGGCACTGCAGTTCTCTCCAAACATCTTCTGCCTGATGACATACAATGAAATACACTGGATTCAAAATGGTCTGAGCACACATAGGTATAGGCAGAAATGTCCACTGAATTTGGAATGCCCAGAGCAGTAAACCATTTCCTACGTAAAAACCGATTCTTGGGGAACCTAAAAAAACATTATCTTATTTCCGCTCAACATTCGAAAAAAAATGAAACACTTTATTCGAATTTTCAATTTCAATGCCATGTTCTGAAGTATCAACGAATACCAAAATTAAAACACTCATGTCACGCCCATGGCTTATTACTTACTGATGGAAAGATCGCAGGTTTTCTTTGATTTGGTATGAATTACATACGCAGCACTTTTTCGGCATGGTTAGCAATGAAAATAAAGTCAATAAACACAGTAGTTCACTTTGAAAAAACAACAATATCAGCAAAAATGGATAAATTAAACAATGAACTGACAGAGAAGTATCAAGATGTCACGCATGAAACACAAAGAATGATACATGAAAAGTGACAAGTTGATCCTGTGATTTCACTAGCCAATCATAAGCGGGGGAAATGGTAAACATCAACAAATTCATTTTGGTTACACACAATCTGCCTAACGTTACGCATCTATGTCCCTTTCTTCATCTGAGGTTACGATTGCCGACTTATCCGTGTCGATTTCTATTGGTCAATATTCATCACATGATCCAACGGATCCGTGAAAACGGATGCATATGAAAGCAGCCTCAGAGTCGTCTGCGCCTGATAGAAAAACAAGTTTTTTGTAGTGTTCTTTATTTTAATAATGCTTTGATCATGTTCACAAACACAAATAAAGTGTGGTATTTGTAATATGTAGCTAATTACGAAACCTCCGAACCCAGTATTACCACATTTAATGGCGACGAGGATGTTTTAGCTCAAGTAAACAGTGTGTCAAAAATATAAATTGGAGGGAAAAACAGTTCCAGCAACAGGAGATAACAGTCTCACACAACACTACACAACAAGCCAACAAGCTGAAAATAACAAACAGTGATACAGTGAACGCGACATCAAAACATTATAGTGACTTTCGGAACAATCGAAAAATCTCACGAAAACTCTCTTCATTGAACAAACGGTGGAGTGAGTGGACAACAGTTAACAATAACACATAACAATAACACAACGAACACAAGGATACAACTTCAAGGATGGCGACTGAATATTTGAAGTCATTCCAGTTTGAGCGGATTGCACCAGACAAAGAAGGCTGGGAATACTACATACAGAGATTTCGGATGGAACTACAAATACAGGGGTTGGATGCGAACGATGAAGAAACGCAGACCAAAAGAAGAAACTTACTCTTGAGCAAGATAGGTCCGGATGCATTTCGAATTCTAGTAGACCATTTCAAACCAGATGATGTTACAACAAAATCTTTTGAAGATTTAGTCCAAGTACTAAACAAGTATTATGGCAAAACAACATACATTCTATCAGAGCGAGTTGCATTTGCACTACGCTACAGAAAAGAGGATGAAACAGTAAATCAATTCTTGAATAGGGGAGAAGTACCTATGATGGCACCCCTAACGAATAATCCCGATATCTAAGTAACTAATCGATATTCGAGTGAATTTTTTTCATCAGTCTCTAGTTTTCCATCACTATATAATTAAACAGCATTGCGAAGGAGTGGGATTCCAAAAGATTTTCTGATAAAAACGAAAACATATTCTTAGCCATCATAGGCACTTAATATAATAATATCATTTGATGGCATACTTGATTTCCTATGATGGCATACTCAATTTTCTGTGATGGCATACTCAATTTCCTATAATACATACTTATACAAGCAATTACATTTCCATGAGAGAGGTGACTTTTATCGAATGAAGGCAAATTTAAAACAATTTTTATTCAATGAAAACATATTCACATTCTGTGCAGATGAAATATTTCATGAAAATATAACATATTCATTCCAGATTATCAAATAAAAACTAATTCAAGCTATGCTCAGTTAGTTCAGAGCATAAAAAAATTAAAAATACCCACTTATAGATTTGGCATACATCAAGAACATATTTCACAAATGAAATTTTTAGTGCGTCTATCAACACCAGCACAGTCAGTATGAGACCAATCAGAGCATATTTGGCACTGTATCCAGGGCTTGTAATGTTCGTGATTCTCGGTAGCTCTAGTTTGAATAATTTATTTAAACATTTATTTCATAATAGGAAAGTTAATGATCTTTTGCAAATAACATTTACATTTGAATGCCGTCGCTGTTCATTGCCAACTGTTGACTGCCGATCATAGACCACGACTCCCCAGTTGTCACTGATGACAGCGACAGGTCTCCTTTGGCCGTGACTATTCGTCCGAGTAACGGAGCCATACATCACACGTCCTTTTTTTTTTTTTTTTTTTTTTTTTTTTTCTTCTCAAAGATCTAATCTTGTGGGAGCTTTAATAGTTCGCCCACTACGGGTTGTGCTTCTTGGAATATCTGGCGCCTCTGTCTGAGTGGTACTTATATTTTCCATCAACACTGTGCCTGGATTATTGCTTCTCTTGATTGGACTCTCCTTCAGCACTTTGCTAGGATCACTACCTGTCCCGAATGAACACTCCTCAATTTTATCATCTGTAGTTTCCTGGTTGTCGAGATCCTTAGAAGGAGCAGTTGTGATGAATGGTTTGAGTTGATGTCGGTTTCGCCGTTATTCTGCATCTCCCACTTGAATTGCATAATCATTAGGTCCGGATTTGTTTAACACGACTCCTGGTTTCCAAACCCTGCATTTTTCTTGGACTAGTACTTGTTGATCTTCCCTCAGGTCTGGAAGCTTTTTAGTATTTAAATCATGATAAAATTTTTGTCTTATCTGGTTTTCCTGTAATTTTTTTCTGACACCTTGTGTTGAATACTTTGGTTCCAGAATCTGTCTATTTACAGGTAATGTTGTCCTTAGTCTCCTGCCCATCAGTAACTCACTGGGGGCTGGCAAACCTTGCTTGGGTGTGACATTGTAAGTCAGAACTGCCAGAAAAGGGTCTTCATTATCTTGGTATGCTTTGGTCAAAAGTCCTTTGATGGTTTGGATTCCTCTCTCTACCATTCCATTTGAGCGTGAATAATAAGGACTGGATGTGGTTAGTTTTATTCCATATCTACGGCCAAACTCCACGAATTCAATGGAGTTGAATGGGGGGCCATTGTCAGAAAAAATCTCCAATGCAAGACCCTGTATGGCAAATGTATTTTTCAAGGCTGTTATTACACTTTGGGCTGTTTTGTTGTGTAGTTTGTTTACAATTGTAAATTTACTGAAATAGTCTATGATGACTATGAAGTCTTGATTTCCCATTGACTTAAAATCAATGCCTATTTTCTCCCATGGTAGTTGAGGCACTTCATGAGGGTTGCTTTTTGCATATTTTTGGCATGTATTACAGCTAAGAACCATTTTTTCTATGTCCGATGTTATGCCAGGCCAAAAAACTGTTTCTTGGGCCATTTTCTTACAGGCTACAACACCTTGATGTGCCTTGTGTAGCAATGCAAGGAATTCAGCCTTAAGAGATTCAGGTATTACTAAGCGTTTTTTGTAAAATATAACATTATCATGTATGTAAATTTCATTTCTATATTGCCAAAAATTTTTCACCAAACCTGAAGCATTTGATTTATGGGATGGCCAACCATTTGATGTGTATACTTTTAATTTCTCCAATGTGGTATCTTCACTAATAGCTGCTAGAAGTCTTTGGTTATTTTCTTCTGTTGTGGCTATGATTGAGTGAACTCGAAGATTCTGCTCCAGATAGTCAGTATCTATTTTTGTCTCTGAAGGTGCACGACTTAAGGTGTCAGCCACTTGCATTTGTTTTCCAGGCACATAGTTGATGATGAAGAGTCTGATTGCTAGCCGTTGAATACGAGGCGATAACTCATCCAATGGCTTCTTCAATAGTCCCAGCAATGGACGGTGATCTGTCTGGATCCAAAATTTTTGTCCAAACAGATAATAGTGGAAACGTTCACATCCATACACAATTGCCAGCAATTCTTTCTCAATATGATTGTAACGTTGTTGTGTTGGTGTCAATGACACAGAAGCATATTCTATAGGATGGTTTTCTTGCAGGATTACTGCCCCTAGTCCATAAGGACTAGCATCAACAGATACTGTCGTCTCTTTGTTTATATTGAAGAATGACAGTACAGGGGCATTAGTAATACTTTGTTTCAGGAGATTAAAACACCTTGTTTCATTTTCTGTCCACACCCAATCTGCTTGATTTGAAAGCAATTTCCTCAGTGTACTAGTTTCTTGAGACAGATTTGGGACAAACTTTGCTAAGTACACTATCATGCCCAAAAATCTTTGTAGTTGTTTTTTATCTTCTGGTGGTTTCATGTTGGCTATGTCCTTGTTTTTTTTTTTCATCAGGGGCAATTCCTTTATCACTTATGATATGACCAAGAAATTTCACTTGATTTTGACAAAATATAGACTTTCCCGGGTTCAATGTCAATCCACATTTTGAAATTGTTGATAACACTTCCTTCAAGTTGTGGTTATGATCTCTCAGGGTTTGTCCAAACACCAAAATGTCATCGAAGTAAGATATGACTCCCTGGATACCATCTAACGTTTGATACATGAACTTCTGGAAAAATTCTGGTGCACAACATATTCCATATGGAAGTCTCAGGAATCTGTATCTTCCAAAATTTGTGGCTATCGTGCATCAGGGAACTTTCATGGTCTAATGGTAGTTGCAAAAAAGCTGATGATGCATCCATAAGTGAAAAATATTTTGCACCAGCTAGCTCTGCAAATAAGGTCTCTTGTGTTGGTATTTCGAAATTTTCCCTCTTAATATACGGATTCAATGCACGAGGGTCCATACAGATACGTATATCACCATTTGATTTATTGGCAATAACAATTGGGTGTACCCAATCAGTTGGTTCACTAACAGGTACAATAATTTTCTCGGCTACCATTTTATCCAGTTTTGCTTTCACTTTATTCTTCAGTGCAATTGGTATTTTCCTTCAACATTATTTTGCATTCAGTGTTTACTCTACCAATTCCAGAGAATACTTTTCCATATTCTGTAAGTATATCCTTCACGTTCAACATGGATTCACTTTGTATTGTACTGCATATAGCATTGGATAGTCCTGGACCATTACTACTAATTATCCTCAGAGCCCTGATAGCATCTAACCCGACGATTGAGCTGGGAGATTCAGAACTTAATACAAAAAATAGTAGGTTTTTTGACACACCATTAAATTCACAGTTCAAATATTTTTGTCCTTTCACATTGATTTTGTGACCTGAGTAGGAAGATAGTGTTGCATGTGATGTCACAAGTCCCTCTACACTACCATTCAATGATTTGAAGTCACTGATATTCAATATGTTCACTTGACTTCCAGTATCGATTTTCAAATTAATGTCAATGCCTGAGATTTTCACTTTTTCAAACCACTCAATTGCATCAATACTGGAAGTTGTAACTGTCCACGTAAAATAGTCATATCCACC